GAAATGTTTTACATGTATCTAAAATGAATATTGTTATTGTGTAGAGGAGGTAATGCAACCTTCTGTGACACAATGGGGGAAAGAAAAAAAAAAGACAATGACAACAACCTAGTTGGGCTTCTTCAGGACTCCACCAGTACCCTTCATCTTGTTATCCTCAACATCTAATATAGTGCCTCATATGCAATAGTTCCAATGAATATTTGCCTAATAGAACTACGTTTGATTTGAGAGAGGCTAGCAAAATAGTGGTGAGAAAATTAAGAGTAAAATAATAGATTCTGTGTGTAAAAATCAAGTAGAAACATTGTAGATTAAATTTTCAGGAAGTATTACAGAAAATAGCAATTGGATATAAATGTAAGATTGAAGAAATGTGTTTATTTTAATGAAGATTTAAATAAAAAAAGAGAGAAGACAGATGAAAAATGTAAACCTTTGTTAAAATGGTTTCCAAGAGCTTCCAAAGCCCAGAGAATAGAAACCAAGCAAAATAAAACAAAAAACCTATATACTACTAGCCAAAACTGAAAACTATAGACAATCAGATGCCAGAGTTGAGGAGGAACTATAGTTAATTATAAGATAAATGGAGGTAAACTAAGAAATAAAAACAACCCAATTTATTGAATACCCTGATATCTTTGTTATGAAACACAAGTCACATGGAAAAGGAAAGAACGGCTGGGGGGAGGGGACGCATCATCCTTCCTGGGATGAGAAGGCCTACAACCTGAACCAAAGAAAAAAGGGATGCTATCCTTATCCACACCACAGAGAGAGTTAATCCACCTTTACCCCTGTTGCCTCCACTAGCATTTAAGACCTAGGCAGAGACTACAAATCATAAAATGTAAGTGGTAGGAAAGTGGGCGTAAGGTACTGGCAGTGGTAGAGTACATTCCAAGAGTTAGAATCTCAAGGCGTAACATGCTTGAGAGGATAAAGATACAAAGAACCTTGGCAGCAGTACATAGGTGAACTGCAGTTGTATTGTACTANCACTGCCCCCCAACCCCTCTGTGCTCTGCCTATTCATCCCTCGGGCGCCCGTCTCTGGCAACACTGATCTTTTTACTGTCTCCATAGTTTTGCCTTTTCCAGAACTTTATATGTTGGAATCATACAGTAAGTAGCCTTTTCAGTTTGGCTTCTTTCACTTAGTAATATGCATTTAAGCTTCCTCTGTGTCTTTTCATGGCTGAATAGCTCATTTCTTTTTAGTGCTAACATTCCATTGTCTGCATGTTCCCCAGTTTATATATCCATTCACCTACTGAAGGGCATCTTGGTTGCTTCACAATTTTGGCAGTTATGAATAAAGTTGCTATAAACATCCATGTTCAGGTTTTTGTAGACATAAGTTTTCAACTCCTTTGGGTAAATACCAAGGAGAGCAATTGCTGTATCATATGAAAGAATATGTTTAGTTTTGTAAAAAACCACCAAACTGTCTCCCAAAGTGGACGTGCCATTTTTCATTCCCACCAGTAGTGTGTGAGAGTTCCTGTTGCTCCACATTCTCACCAGCATTGCCATCTTGATGTTTTAATTTGTGTTTCTCTGAGGGCATATGTTGTGGAGGTCTTTCCATATGCTTATTTACCATCTGTGTATCTTCTTTGGTGATGTGCTCTTAAGATCTTTGGTCCACTTTTTTTTAATCAGGTTTTTTGCTTTTTTTCTTGTAGAGTTTTAAGAGTTCTCTGTATATTTTGAATAACAGTCCTTTATCAAATATGTTTTTGCAATTATTTTCTCCTAGTCTGTGACTTGTCTTCTCATTCTGTTGACATTTTCACAGAGCTCAGAAATATTTTAAAAATAAAAACCATTACTGTTACTAACCCCACTCCCAGATTCCATTTTTTTCCTTTAAAAATAGCCTTAGAAAAGAACTTTTTGTTAACCATTTTCTGGGCATGTTACTGTATTCCCCTATTATTTCAAGCATATATTTAGAAACATGACTTCTGAAATAGAAAAGCTATAGATTTTAAAACACATTATCAATTTATAAAAACATGNTGTCTTTAGCATTCTAAGAAAAGGTGAGAGCATTTCTCCTTTATTTTCTCTCTTTTGGTTTTGTGTTTTGGCTTTTATTCTTATTTCCTTCTCTTTATCATTCTATCTAGTAATAATAATGTGTGCCCAAATAGACATAATAATGCTTCCCTTAATACATGAAGACGATGCTATTGTGTTGACTAAAGGCATGTTCTTGAGATTTTCTAGGAGCTCTCTTATTACGTTCACTCAGCTACAAAGCATCTACATTAAAATCTATTAGTTCAGTTTAGAAAAGTCTTTGGCAGGGCCTCCAGCTCTCTAAATTAGTCTAACTTTAAGGTGCCAAAGTGAAAAAAAAAAAAAAAAGTTAGCCAGGGAATATTCTAAAGACGGGCTGAGAACATTCCCTTCCAGATGGAAGTTAGGACAACTGGGCCATCAGCTGTTGTAAATCCATAACCAGGAGAGAGGCTGAGGATAAAATTAGATAGGATTGTTGAGACTAGCTAATTACAGTGGGTAACCGGGGAGTCTGGTCAGTCAGATTGTAGCTGAGACTAAGAAATCCAACCTGAGCACCAGATGAGGGTTAGTCAGCTGGCTGAAGCAGGAACAAAGTCGGACATTACCAGAGCATAAATGTCACGCTAATGGACCAAGAAGCACCTTGGTGACTATCACCTTGGTGAAGCACCTAGGTATGACTATCCACAGAAAAACTACTGAGGCTAATGTTTGGCAGGAGCCAAACAAGGGTTTTTCCCAGACAGACGAAGAATTGCACCAAAAAAAAATTTGCCATCCTAAAGACACCTTCTTACAAAAAGATCTAACCATAAAAGAAAAAAATTGATAGATAGGGTTACATTAAAATTAAGCACTTCCAATTACAAAAGACACTATTAAGAGAATAAAAAGGCAAACATAAAGTGGAAGAAGATACTTGCTAGATCTATGTATCTCCAACAAAGGAGACTTACTCAGAAAATAGAAAGAACTCACATAAATTAATAAGCAAAAGACAACTAATTTTTTTTTAAGCTCCATGCAAAGCTACCCAAAAGGTAACTCACAAACGAGAACATCCAAATAACCAATAAATGTATGAAGAGGCACTCAACTTCAATAGTCATCATGGAAATGCAAATTAAAACTAGAATAAGATACTACTACATGCTCATTAGAATGATGAAAATGAAAAGGAGAGACAATACCAAGTGCTGGTGCGGATGTTAAGCAACTTGAACTCTCTTACATAGTTGGTGAGAGTATATTTTCATTCACGGATGCTTAAATTGGCTGGGGGTGGGGATGGAGGGTGATGAGGCCTGGAACCTCCCATTCTACCATCTTGCTGATGTCGCTCCTCTGATCTTTTCTATTTGATAACTTTCCCTGGCTTTATACCCAGGTGTAACAATGGACTTTGATTCTTAGGTTGCATTTGCATTTCCAGTTTTTCATTTCATAGGTTGCATTTGTAATTTCCGTTGTGCTGCCCTAGAAACTGATCCTGGGCAAAACACTCAAAGGTGTTTGGACTTTGTTTTGGTTGCCTGTCTATTCAACCTGCTGCATAACTCCTTTCCCATTGTTTGTTTTGTCTTTAGTACGCTTGCCTCAACAGTATNGAGGGGGCCGGTCCGCAGCGCCCCGCACTCACCTGGCTGACGCTTCAGCGCCATCACTGATACCAAGTAGTGGGCGATGTCAAAAAAGGGGAACATGGACGTGCGAGAAAAGGCAAGGGTCAGCTCATCCCACGAAGAGGCCATCACAACGACCTACCACGGCGACCGCAGCAGCCGGGGCGACCGGTTCCCAGCTTGCGCGGGGAGAGTTGGGGGAGGGGCAGGCGCGGGCGCGCGCTTTCCTGCACGCCCTCGAGGAGCCCTGCGCGTGCGCCCTGGCATCCGCGCCGGCGCCGAGGGGCGGGACCGTGAACCCCCGGAGCCAAAGGCAGGCGAGTGGTGGGCGGGTGGGCGGGGCTAGAGGGCTCCCGCTGCTTCCGCACGGCTTGACTTGTTCTCCTAATAAGGGTCCGGCGTTTGTTCCGTGCTGGGGTCTGTGCCAGACCTGGAAGAGTGGACAGATGAAGAAAACATAATGAATACAAATGCATTGTTAATGTTAACATTTAGTGCATTTACTACTTTTAAAATGAATACATAAAGAACTATTTTTCAATTTTGTAATAATTTCTAATATGCTAAATTATCAATACATGTAACACATAAAAGCTTTATGGAGTTCTCAAGAAATTTTATGTCAGCTTTTTTAAAGATTTAATTTACATACATTATACTCATCCGTTTTCATATGAAGTCCTATGATTTTGGACAAACCTGCTGTCTAAAGGAGAGACCCTCAGAGTCGGATTTATTTCTGAATTGATTTCATTCGCCTATATTTCTCCAGCAACTTCAGTGTTCAAGTCACACGTGACTTATGGGAGATAGAAAAAAGAATATGATTAATATTCTGCCCTCAAGAAACTTGTATTCTCCCAAGATAAATTGAAAACATTTTTTAAAGGACACACATAATTTGTACAAAGCAGGTAGTAAGAAGTATAGGCTATGCTAGGGCAGTTTGGAGGAGACGAAGATTATTTCATGGAAATGGAAAGGTGAACTGGCCTTTAAAAGCTAGACTAGAGGTGTAGGGAGTTATTTTGGCTAGACTACAAAGTGAAAAATAAGGTTGGAAAAGAAGTCCTTGAAAGGCAGACCATAAATCAGGAGGTTTGGCTCCAGGGTCACACCTCAGTACACTCAGGCAAATCAGAGCCAGAATCCAGACTCTTAACCATTATGCAAAGCTGGGTTTTTCTTTTCTCTATAGGGGTGCGATCAAACAACAAAATTAGGAACATATTGGTAAGAAGAGACAGGGAAGATAGTAGGACATTTAATGGTCCAAGCAAAAGGTAGTGGAGGCTGAGGACAATAAGAACAGGGACCTGGATGGGGAAAAAGCAGTAGAAATCATAGGCTGGATATCAACTCAACTGATCAAAGAAAGATATGGGGAATGGGTGAGTAGAAGGATTATGGTCGCATTCAAAGAAGTAGGAAACAAAAAAGAGGAGCAGGTTTGGGTGGGAAAACACACAAATTTAGTTTGGTACATTTTTGGTTTGATGTGTCAGCAAATCTTGCTGGCACCAGGAAATTGGAAATACATAATGAGCTGCTGGATAGATAAGAGCCACATGGGAGTATGAACTGCAAAGGGACTTACATTGATGTTTTTTACCTGAATATTTATTTGTTCATTTTATTAATAATTCACTTAACAAATATTTTCTGCATGCCTGCTAGGTACCAGGCATTTTGCTGGATGTCAGAG